TGCTGCTTTCAGCCTTAACTGTTTATTTTAGAAGGTGGGACATAACACATGTATATGTATATACATATACATCAGACAGATTGGATAAATCAGACTGGTGTAAAATGAAAGCACTAGGCTAAAAACTGGGAGAAACTAAGAAACCATGAGTTCTGATCCTGATTTGTGCATGAAGCCAGATGGGTTAGTTTGAACCAGTCACTTCCTCTCAACCTTAGGAAGAAGGTAATGGCCTTGAAAATACCAAGAGCATGCATTCACAAAGAATTTGGAAATGAGGAAAATATTGCTTATAAAGAAATTAAAATGTATAGTTAACTGGAGCCTTCTGTAAAACAAAACACCTGGAATTCAGCTGATCCCAACCTTCTTAGATTTAGAAAAGCCATTAAAATTTGTTTGTTTTTGGCAGACTTGGAAAATGGAAATTACATCATTTGTTGTTGTTTTTGGGCAATTTAGATAACTTCTTTATTTGATTGGTTTGCCCAGACACATGATAGCTATATGGTTTTTGTTAGTTTTATGTTCTTTATATTCTGTATATTTATTTAGGTATACAATCGCCTCATAGATAGAAGTTAGCATATAATTCTACTAAAATAAACATGTAAAAAACATGTAAACAATGTTTCATTAATTGAATGATTGCTGGGAGTCTTTGGCAAAGATAACGGCACAAGTGAATTTTCTTCATATACCATTGAAGCAATCATAATGTGTTACTTTTTACCTTAACAGAAATTCTGCAATATTCTAAACAATGCACCACATAATATTTCAGTGTAACTGAAAAAAATCAAGTTAAAGAAAAACATTAGATCATCGGGAATATATTTTATTAAGCAAGGTGGTTGTAATCTATTTCTTGGGATGTATCTGCTTTAGTGTAACCGGTCTCTGCATTTGAGTATTTTCTTATTTTCAGGAAATCAATGAAAATTCTCTGAAAAGATTAAATGGGTATTTGGAGAATCTCCAGAAACCAGGCTTCAGATCATTTAAACCAACTCGACTCACTTTTTATGTACGAGAGAGAGAACAAAGCCCTTCCAGTGTCCAAGAACCATTTGGTGCTGCAGGTATTTTTAATATTTGGAATTTTACTAAATCACTGACAGATTATGGATAATTGACACTCTTCTTGTGTTTGAAATATTTTTACATTATGTGCCAGGAAATCTTCAATACATCTTCTTAAAATAACCCCAAATTTCCTTCTGTATCCATTGTGACTTTACTATTCCTTTTGTCTGTATATAAATGCAATATGTACTGATAGTCCTTGAGTTATAACCATCCAATAACTGTTAGAAGTTACAATGGTGCTGAATGTTCA